GTCCCCTTCCATGTCCACCGCGCGCACAGCCATGCGGCCGATGCTGAGGGTATCCGCGGTACCGACCGCGTAGAAGCCTGGGCTCATCGGGCAGCCCTGGTCGAGGCCACGGATCTGGTCGACCAGCTGGGCGGGTTGCGACCCGCCCCCCGCCGCGCGGCGTGTTCGGGCGGGGAGCCAGGCTTCCGCCAACGGGGCCAGCGCAGGCACCTTGCTGCGCACGGCCTCCTTCACCAGGTCGCGGGGGATGTCGCTGAATGCATCCCCGAGGTCCACCGCCACCACCCACTTGCCTGGGCTCGAGTTGGCCATCGTGCATAGGCGTCGGTGGAGTGCACCACATCCGTCCTTGGCAAGGCCGAACTGCTGGTCTCCCACCGCCGTCCGCATGTCCTCGTGGTGGACTTTGGCGACACTGCGGCCCACCATGCGGCTGGTGACATTTCCACAGCCCAGGACTCGCACATCCCCAGGGGTTGCCTTGGGGATGCCTGTGAAGCGCGCCGCCGTCATGGCGGCTAGCGCCTCGGGGGGGAGGTCCCCGATGGCCAGTCGAGCCAGCGTGTTGGCCACCGCCCCTGCCCCATCCTCGTCGTGCTTGAGAGGGGCCCAGTGCTCGTAGCGTCCACCTCCAGGCCCCGCCCCTCCACGGCGGGGGAAACGGCCAAACTGACGTTTGGGGTGGTTGGCCACGCGGCGGTGGAGTTCCGCTGCGCCGTCGAGCTCGCGGGGAGCTGCGGCTGGCGGCATCGCCACGTCGGCCCCCGCCCCTGCGGCCCCTCTCCCTGGCCCACGCGGGGCGGCCCCAGTGCCAGGGAGAGGGCACCACTCGCCTGGGCGAGGCGCCTCGGGCTGCTGGGTGGTGCTGAACTTCCTCACCACCGCCGCTGCGTCCGCCATGTCCCCCTGGGGCCACACTGCCGCCGCCGCCCGGGACATCTCTCCCACTCGTGCGAGCTCGGTGACACGGCGCGCACGGGCTGCGACGTGATCCTCGCGGCCCTTCGCGGTGACCGTGGCGCGCGTCTGGTCATCCATGGAAAGCCAGGCGACGTCCCACTGGCCGTCCTGGATCCACCGCAGGCGCTCCTGGAGGCGCCCCCGTCGCGTCGTCGGGGTCGGGGTCGCATTTTCGCTGAACAGCAGTCCGTCCAGCGAGAGGAACACCTTCCACAGCCTCGTCAATGTGCTCGACGACTGAGCGTCGTTGCCCTGGCGGGCTTGCTCGATTGCCAAGCACAACCGCACCTTCACGTGGCTGACGGCTGCCGCCATGCTGTCGGGGATCATGGCTGTGGTGGGCGCCCCTCGGAGCAGGATGCGGCCCCACCCGATGGCATCCCACCAATCCAGGTTGACGAAGCCCACCTCGTGGCACGCGTCCTCGCTCGTCACCTGGTCGTCCAGGTAGTCGTCGTAGACGCCTGTCTCGAGTCCGCCATCCTCGCCTGCTTCCGCAGGAACGTCGAGTGGCGGTTGTAGGATGTCCGCCGTGGTCGGCACCGCTGCCTCGGCCGCCCCCAGAGGAGTCCCCCGCGCGCCTGGGCCGTACGCTCCTGGCGCGGCGGCGGCAAGGGGCCTCGGGGCTGCCCCAGCGCCCCCTGCCGCGCCATCTCCCTGGGTGGGAGGGGTGGGGGCCTGGCCTTCGACTGTCTCCAGCAGGGGCAGGATGGGGCCCCCTCGGGCCTCCAAGGCTGCCGTGAGGCGATCCCTGTCGCCCTCAAGGAGCTGAGTAAAGCCCACCATTGCCGTGGCTGGTGGTAGTGGGCCATCAACGCAGGCCATGTGGAACCACTTCCTGCCCGCGTGCGCCTGGGACCCCGCGGGTGGTGTCACGACGCCTGCCACGCGCCACTCGCCAGCCTCGAAACCTCACACGCAGCGCGTGCAGTGAGCCTTCTTGCCACGGGCCGCCTGGGCGCTGACGTACCAACGGGTGATGCGTCCGCCCGTCATGCGGCGCCGCCTCTGTGCTGGCTGGCCCTCGCTGTCACGCATGTGGACGTCGGTGTTGCCATCCACGGGGATGTCGGCTGCGTTCACGCCAGCCGACGCGGGAGCGGCCGCGGAGGCGCACGGGGCGGCCCCAGCACCTCCGCTGTCTCCCGCAGCTGCCAGCACTCCGCCTTCGCCTCGAGCCACATCGGCGCGCCGCCAGCGGCCGCTGCCATCCCAGGACGTCCCTTCAGGGCAAGGAAGAGTGTTCGTAACAATGAGGGCGCGAGAAAAGGAAGGGTGACTGTCACCCGCGGTTTGAAGGCAGCAGTAGCCCCCCCGCCCACAGGCTCCCCAGAGCCTTGGGGGGGACTACTACTACTACTACTACTACTACTACTACTACTACTACTACTACTACTACTACTACTACTACTCCTACTACTACTACTACTACTACTACTACTACTACTACTACTACTAACTACTACTACTACTACTATACTGCTACTACGACTACGACTACTACTGCTACTACGACTACTGCTACTACGACTACGACTACGCTACGACTACGACTACGACTACGACTACTACGACTACTACGACTACTACGACTACTACGACTACTACTACTACTACTACTACTACTACTACTACTACTACTACTACTACTACTACTACGACTACTACGACTACTACGACTACTACTACTACTACTACTACTACTACTACTACTACTACTACTACTACTACTCTACGACTACTATTACTACGACGACGATACTACTACTTACTACTACTACTACTACTACTACTACTACTACTACTACTACTACTACTACCATTACTACTACTACTACTACTACTACTACTACTACTACTACTACTACTACTACTACTACTACTACTACTACTACTACTATTACTATCACTACTACTACGCTCGGCGCGCGTCCGAAACGAACACATCACACAAGCACCATATCGCATGTCGCTACCCAAGCGGCATGGCCAAAAAACCGCCCACCACCGATCATATGCTATCCGCTGGCCTTACAGGCGTGGGGGGGGGGGAACCTGGGACCCAGACTTCTCACCGCGGCCTTGCGCCTTTCATGCGCCTGCCCCTCTACATGCCCCCTCCCCACCAGCATCCTGGTTCCTAGGACTACAATTCTGCAGGGCCCCTCGCGCTGCAATTTCTCGGTCAGATTTTCATGATTGGGACTCCCGCCTTACAACTTCGCCCCCCCCAAACCGACCTTCAATTCCCAGCGCGCATCCACCTCGCCCGACTTCCCCACCCTCTGGGACCCCTCTTCTTTCGACCCACCACCGCACCTCACTTCGCCCGTCCCCAGCCTCTGACGTCTCTGCCCCGTCCCCACCTTGCACCTTGCGGCCCGGGGCAGGCACCGATCTCCCACCTCGCCACCAACTCGCCCTGACAACGCGAACCCTTTGAAATAGACAAGCACATTCCGCGACTCGCAAATGCCTGGATCCGCCGCGGGCGATCTACGATCTATTACATCCAGGCAACACGCACACACACACACACACTTATTGTTCGGGGCGTTTGCGAATAGGCACTTTTTTTTTGTGGGGCAGGAAATGGAAGCGGACAACGATAACATACACGGCCCATGTACGACTCATGCACGTCGCATGGCCAAATATTCGGGCAAAGAAAAACGGGCACGGGCCTCGCCACACTTACGATGCTGCTTACTGTAGGCGCCGGCTGGGGCAACAAACCCTGCTCCCCTGAACAGACAGACGCCAACAAAAAGGATCTACCTGTGACAATTATGTTTTTCTCCCCGCTTGGACCCCCCAGTTCTTTTAGCCGACGCTCACCAGAGGTTTGTCGCAGAGCGGTGGCCTCTCGGGCCGAAAACGGAGCAGAAGAGTTCCACTGAACTGCCTGCCCCGTCTTGCCTCTCGCCAGCGCCGCCAGCCCCGAGCGGCCGATTTTCCCCCCGGAACCCGAGGCATGGCCCTCGGAGGCCTTTGAATCCAGGAACCCTCCACGGGACACCAGAACGAGACCGGAAAAGGGCCGCCAGCAGCCCGAAGGGAAGAAAGGCGCTGGGCGAGGCAAGGCGCGACTGAGAGGGCAACGAAACTCCCAAGAGCGCTCTTCCTCCAATGAGGGTGGCTCGAGGGTGGGAGCACAAAGCTTCGGACGAGGCGTCGCGCGTCGCAACTGGACTGGGGGGTGAGCGTGGCACGAAACAGTGCACATTAAGATCATGATAATATGTTTCTCTCCCCGCTCGGACCCCCCAGTTCTTTTAGCCGACGCTCGCCAGAAGTTTGCCACAGAGCGGTGGCCTCTCGGGCCGAAAACGGAGCAGAAGAGTTCCACTGAACTTCCTGCCCCGTCTTGCCTCTCGCCAGCGCCGCCAGCCCCGAGCGGCCGATTTCCCCCCCGGAACCCGAGGCAGGGCCCTCGGAGGCCTTTAAATCCAGGAACCCTCCACGGGACACCAGAACGAGACCGGATGAGGGCCGCCAGCAGCCCAAAGGGAAGAAAGGCACTGGGCGAGGCAAGGCGTGACTGAGAGGGCAACGAAACTTCCACGAGCGCTCTTTCACGACTCCCTCACTGGCTGCGCCGAAAAGTTCAGGGCGCATCGCAGGCCAGCAGACTGCCAAGATAACACAGTCGTTGATGGCATCCTGGTGAGAACTGCATTTCTGAAAGGGCCTGCTGACCTTCTGATATGTAAATACGAGCAGTGGCCGAATCCTGCCATCTCCCCTTCTCAAGGGCGGCAGGCATATTACGAATTCTCACAAAATACGATGTGGCCCCCCCCTCGTCTAAGACTGTAAGGACGGAGCTGCTGGCATTCGAGGGCAGCGCACAACTGCTCAAACTTCTCACGAAAATCACTGATGCTCGAGTTGAGGAGGAGAGCTTCAGGACTCAGATGGCGAAGCAAGAGACTGGCGAGCTGCACGACTGACGGGTCATCAATCACAACTGACTCTTGCCGATGGAATCGCAAGCCACTTTTTATGATCGGAAGGATGATCACTATTTTGGCGCGAGCCTCGTCGATAGCTATCTGCCACCGGCGCAGCGTCAGCATCTCGGTGGTCCTGAGGAAGCCTGCGAAGCCCAGCACGAGCAGCGCTGCGATGTCATTGCGGCCCCAGCCTCTCGCCGTGGCCGCCATCGCCAGCAGGGCCACTTCGGGCAACGGCAGGACGCGCTGCGGCAGCTCGAGGTTCTGCCAGGCTCGTAGCAGTCGCCAAGAGGCTGGCAGGATGCGCTTCTTCCGCAGGAAGAACTGAACTGCCGACAAGGCGTTGCCCGCCAGGCCTTGCGGGTGGCCCTCGGTCCAGAGCCACTCGATCCACTCGGCTACGAGTAGGTCGAGCTTGTCAACGTGATCTGACGCACCCGTCCAGGTCAAGCCTCGGCTTGCAACCCAATCTGAAAACTGTCTAACTGCATTGTGGTAAAGATCGAGCGTTCGCGGCTGCGCCAGATTGTGAGAGAGGCGCCCCACTGCAGCTCGAAGGCGTCGACGTGTGGCCTGATCGGCTGCCGCTCGCGCGCGCCGGGGTCTACGCACTGGCATCTGGCGGCCGCGCGGACCTCGCCGCCGCCCGCGATGGATCATCGGCGGGGTTGCGGTCGGTCTCTGTGTAACCATGCACGGGGCGAGCTAGAGCAGCCAAGATCAGAGCACCAATACGTCGAACTGAAGTACGCAGTAGATAAGAGGATGAGCGACCACGAATGATCACGCCCAAACCTGCCTGATAATCCATCAAGTGACAGAACCGCGTACGTAAGTGATGAGAGGAACGAAAAACCATCTGAGAGCCCCCAACGTCGCCCGCACCTCGAGGTCCGCGATGTGTGAGGGTCGCTTCCACTCCCAGATGGCGGTTGCGCGCCAGGTCCAGCGGGCCGCGCTGATCGGCCTCCTGGGCCGCAGATCTGGCCGCATCGCTTCCAAGGTGTCCAACCTGATGTCGCTGCCACGAGCCTCAGCCCGACGCGCCAACTCCTCCACGATCACGAAACTCGGGCCCAGCGCTGCGTCCGGCTCCTCCAGGTTGTGCTGCCTGATGGGCGCGCCCTCATCGTTCCCGACGTCGTCGAGGGTGACGCTGGCATCCTCAATCGTGGCGCCTCCACCCAAGTCGCGCATCTCAACCACCGAGGGAACGGTGTCCAGGTGCCCAAACTTCACCGCCCAGTGCGACAGGATCCACGCCACCACCAAGCACTGGAAGCTGTTGCCCAACAGGGAGCAACGAGTCGCCTCCAGCTCGTGCTTCTCCAGCTTTCTGGCCCTGGTAACCCGAGCCGTGATGGTGTGCCCTGGCAGGAAATCGAGAAGCAGCTCTCTCTCTCTCTCTCTCTCTCTCTCTCTCTCTCTCCACGCTGTTGGGTGGTCTGAACACGCTGCTGGGCTCCTCGATGCAGTTCTCGTTCTTAAACTGGTATGGCGCGTATCAGTACTCGAAATCTCGCCATCTCTGAAGTTCCTCCTCAGAGCAACGTTGCAGTACAGTGGGAAACTTCCCAGGTGCGCGCCGAGGGATACATCGCAAAAACGCTGGCAACCGAAACTGCTCATCCGCGTCTCCCGCCCACCTGAGATCCTGGCCCAGCCAGCGCCTCACCGGCCCAGGACCCCCAGGCACATGGATCATCTAGACGCCGTCGGAGAAGGAGACGTCGCCCTGCCACTCGCACAGCAGGTTCTCGTCGATCCAGTATAAGCGGTCGCGATAGCAGTGCGTGATGCAGCCAGCTTCGACACGAACTGGCTTGTGACCGAGGTGCTCGCTCATAACGTTGCGCGGCTCGGTGTCCATCGAGGCCACGTTCTCGATCAAGGTCAAGAGTCGGCAGAACTCGCCCGGCACTTCCTCCAAGAGCAGGCGAATGCGTGTGATCTCAAAGAACAGCTTAGAACGCCTCCCCTGAAGCCCGACGCGCTCCACGTTGATGCGCGCGAGGTCGGTGCACGGGCCCCCGCCGATGAGGGGGGCCCACTTGATGTGGGGCACGCGGTCCCTGATCGCCATCGCCTCAGCGTGCCCGAAGGACTGCGCGTCGCCAAACTCCAGCACCTCGGGCCACGCGTACTTGGTCACCCGCCTCGCCTCGGCATCGATCTCCGCAGACACGAACAACGCGGGGGTGAGACCTAAGAGGTCCAAGGCCCTGCGAGCTCCTCCTATCCCATCGAAGAGGGACACCAGCACCACCTCGTCGCGGAAGTCCGTCGCGAACCTCCTGCTCGCTGCTCGCGCCGCTGCGACTCCATCTCGCCGAAGAGGAACGGAGCGACAGACTGCGCCCCTCTGCATGCTGGCGTCCGACACCGTCACAGGCCGCTGATGGGCACGCGCAGGTCGCAGCGCAGCAGCGGCAGCAGCGCAAGCGCCGCGATGAGCTCCTCGCGGACCTTGGCAGGCAGAGGAGCCTGGCCCTTGATGCGGACTAGGAACCGCCACAGCTCGGTGAAGCACATCATCGCTTCCCTCCTGAAGAGTAGGCAACGCACCCAGCGGCCCGCCAAGATCCGCATCCACTTCTGCGTGACGGACCTTCTCTTGAGCGTCTCGATGGTGAGAGAGACCAGACGCTGCGCGAACTGGGCGGGGGGTCCGATGGCGCCCCGAGCCCCGTCGATCGCCCCCCCCCCAAAAAAAAAAAAAAGACTGCGACTTCATCTCCCTGATGACGGCCTTGCTCTCGCTCCGAGGCGCTCCAAAGCTCCTGCACCTCTCTCTCGCCACCTGGGCCAGCTCGCTCGCGCCCTCCTCCTGGAGCTGGTTCGCCCGCCACCAGTCGGTGATCTCGAGCACGTCAAGGTTGTCGATGTAGACCTGCCACGCGCGCCACACCGACTTCGAGCCGAATCTGTCCTTCCACGCCTTGATCAGCACGTCACCGCGGCAAGCCTGCGAACCCTCGCAGTGGCAAAAAAGGCGGCCGCCGCTCAGAGATACCAAATCCCTCAGCATCTGAGGGTTCTCGTGCAGGTATCGCTCGAACAAGGTGACCACCTCTTGACGCGACCAGCCCTCGCTCATGCGGTGCGGGTTGCCCCGGGCGGACGCCTTCAAGTTCAGCTTCGACGAGCCGCGGCCGATGTAGATCTCGGGTTTGCCGTCGTCGTAGGTTTCGCCAACCTGACCCCGAACCGGGGCCGCAGCTCCGCCGTCAAGGGGGCCACGACGCGCAGGAGGCAAGGGGGCATCCTTGCGAAGCTCTTTGCAAGCCGCCAGCCGTTGAAGCCGAGGATGCCACGATCGAAGCAGACGGCGATGGATGTGTTGAATGACTCCGGTCTCCGAGATCCAGCCCATAGGCACCGCCGCGGCCGCCAGATATGCCGGCCCCTCGCCAGGGAGACCGACAACTGCGCGCCGCACTGGCTTGGAGATGGCCATGTACTTCAGCCAGGCGTCGCACAGGCTGCACACGTAGAAGCAACACTTCAGGTCCTCTGCGCTCCAGAGCAGGACCTCCCCTGAGCGCAGCACGATGCTCTTCCACTTGTCGCTGTGGGGGAGCAGCGGCACGCCCCCTTCAATGGCATGCTGAATGAAGTTAGACGGGATTATGTTCATCACCAATCTCTGGGGACCTTCGCCCTTCACGTGGGAGCCCTTCTTCACGCCGAACATGCCGCCCATGACTTTCTGGCCTCTAACCTCCGCGATCTCGTCGCACTCAATGGGCTTCAGGATGCCACGCGTGACGAGGTCACCCGCGATCAGCTCCCACTCTGAAGTAGAAGCCCGCACCTTGGGTGTCGGAGGCAGGTCTCCATCTCCTCCACGTTCTTCAGGATGAGCCTGGGGTCAGACAGCGCCGCCTGGATCCAGCCCTCGGTGACGTCTACGGCTCTGACCGCTGCGCAGGCATCGATCGGCGGCAGCGCTTCCAGCAACTTCGTTCTGTCGAGCGGCTCGGCTGGGAAGATCTCCTCGCCATCGTATGAGGTGGCCGCCGCGGTCAACTCCGACTCCCAATCCACGATGGGCATCGGCCCCGAGCACTGATCGCAGAAAACTCGAACTTCGCACAGCAAGTTGCTGAGCGCCTGACGCTGCACGGCAGTCGGTGGCGCCTCAGGGGCGGCCGACCAGCTCCGCGCGTAGTGGTAGTTGAGGCCCGTCACGATGGCGTGCACCCAGCTCAGCTCAGCCTCCGCGCCCTCGGCCAGCAAGCCGCTCTCCTCTGTGCGATCTCCACGATCCAGAGGAGCGGCCCAAACGTTGAGCGCGATCGGGAGAAAGAGCAGATCTCGCCTTTCTCGCCGACCGTTCGGTGGCGAGCGTCGTGAACCATCAGAAAAGATCGGGGACACTGTCAAGTTCGTCTCGGAAGCTCCGACGGTTATGAGGAGGCGGAGCTGGGGCCGCGTCTGTGACATCGGGTAAACGTTGAGGGGCCAGGTGAACACGGTCTTCTGAACCATCGGGTGTACGCGTCAGGGCCCGGCGTAACGCATGGCTAATCTCTCGCAGTAAACAGGCCCCAAGGAGCTCCAGCGGCGAGCCAGAGACAAGGACCGATGAACAAGGCAGTGAATTCACGGAGTCATCCTTCGCGCCCAGGTGGACGCCATGCTCCACGTCATGCATGTTAGAAAAGTACGAATGGGAGGGCTCCTCGAGGGCATCGGCATCCATGATGGTAGACCAGCCAGACTCGCCCTCGCTGGAGTTCACCTCGATCACAGCGCACGGGCTCACCGATGGTCCTTGCCCTTCGGCTTGCCCTTCGACTTCTGCGACTTCCCCTTGCCGAGGCGTTTCCCAGGTTTGCCCTTGCCTGGCTTGCCCTTGCCTCGGCCCTTGAACTTCATGATCTTGCCGCCCTTGGGCTTCCCCGGCGGGCTCTGGTGCGATCTCCGCGTCGGCGGAGCTCGCTCGTCTCTCCGAGGCCTCCGCGAAGTGAACTCGTCGTGCTGGAGACGGCGGCCTGGCATCGCCCTGCTGCGGTGGGCGAAGGATCGGCCGCCTGTCGGGACCTGGGCTGACTCCGCCGCGGGGAATCCCGCGCGGTGATCCCGGCGCGGCGGCGGCAGGGGCCGGCGCTGCAGGCGGCATGCCTGGCTGCGCTGGCCTTCCCGTGGCGGCGCCTGGGCTCGCGGGGGTGGCTCCAGCTGCCGCGGTCGCGGTTGCTGCTCGCCGCTCTCCGCGCGCCAGCGTGATTTCCTCGAAACCTTCTCGCGGGCAAGCAAGGGGGAGACCTCCTGGGGGCCGTTCTGGTTCTGGTTCTTGCCGGGGGCTGCGACTGCTGGCCTTTGAGAGGGGGGTGTCCTGGACTGTCCACTCCCCTCTCGGCCTGACCCATATCCAACGTTGCCGCCGCCCTTCTTGGCCTTGGCCAAGCTCTCCGCTAGGCCGTGCATCCTCCTGTGCTTGCTCGCCGCGTCGTGCACCTCCTCCTGCCTCGCGAGCCCCGCTCCCAGGTCGTCGCAAAGCTCGAGGTGCTGCGCCACCTGCCAGTGTCCGTCCCTCGTGGCCTGCTCGATCGCCTTCAGCCTCTGCATGAGGAGATCTCCGAGATGGTCCAGCTCGCCTCGAAGCAGAGCGTCGAGGCACTCGCCGACTGTCCTCATCTCGCGCACGCTCCTGACTCCCATCTCGCTCTGAGGATGGTGACCGTGCCAGACGCTGGTGATGTACTGCACCACTGACGCTGCAAGCTCGCCCAGGCTTCCTTGACTGTCCGCCCCCCCACGCCGCGCAATATACTTCATGATATGTTCCATCCCGCTGGAGAGTAACGCGCCAGGTACCTCTCGAGCTAGATGCGCAATCCTGCGGCCTGATTCGACGTGTGGGGCGCCGTCAAAAAGCGAGTCCTCGGAGCTGCTACCACCTGAACCGTCACGGCGTCGACGACGGCCGTGGCGTCTGCGTTTGCTCCCTGTCAGAGTAGCCTCGGCGCGGTCCGTCAACGTCTCGCCGATGCTCCGCTTCTGATGCAGGCGCCTCTTGAGCTCCGCGATCTTCTTCTGCAGATCCGCGGGCGTGGGCTGAGCCGCAGGACCTCCAGGATCGAAGGGGGAGCACCAGGCAGAGCAGCAGCAGGCGCGCCCGCCGCAGCCCCAGGATTCGCTCCGCCAGGCTGCTGAACCCAGGCCTCCGTCAAGCTGCTGGGCGAACACATGCGGTAGGTCTCCACGTGCAGCACCGACCTCTGCGGCCACTGGACTAGGCCAGCACACACGCCCGTTTGCTGCGTGCACAGATGCAGCACTGCGCCTCCCAAGCTGGTGAAGCTACCAGCCAGCATGGGCCACAGGGGCACGCTGCTGCAGCCCATGAACGCCGCCTCCACGAAGCAGCCCATGCCGTCGCCAGGCCACGCACTCTGCACCTGAAAGAGGGCAGTTCCAGCCGCGCTCCCGAAGTTGTCCAGCGTCACGCCCTCCAGCACGCATCCTGGAGCGAGGCCTAAGCGCTGATAGGCCATTGGCGATGACGGGCCGTGCACCCATGGTCCTGCTCCTCCTGGCGGGGCCGCAAGATCGCAGCCTCCAGGGCCTCCAGCGGCGCCCGCGCCTACAGCCGGCACCCAGCCCAGCAAGCCGCCTCTTCCTGGGGCGCCCCTCGCGGCACCTCCCCCCAGGGGGCCTCCTCCTGGGAGCGGCCAGGCCCCAGCGCCTCCAACGCCCCCGATGCCCAAAGCGCCAGGGGGGAGACCTGGCACGGCGCCAGCAGCTGCTCCGCCCGCGGGGGCGCCGTGACCCACGACAGCGGCCGCGCCACCGCCAAGGCCTGGTGGTACGAGCCCTCCGAGCCCTGCAGCTCCGCCAGGGGCCCCGAGAGCAGCAACAGGTGGTGGCCCTGGAGCCCCTGCAGCTCCAGCGGCGGCGACTCCGAGGCCAGCAGGGGGCCCTGCAGCACCTGCGACGGGCACCAAGCCTCCCAAGGGCCCGACAGCGCCAGCCACCGGCCCCACGGGCGGACCGCCTGCGGCTCCCCCCGCGGGTACACCTCCTGCAGCCGTTCCTGCCGCGGCGGCCGCTCCAGCGCCGCCTCCTCGAGCTCCACCGCGCCTGCGAGCGCCTCCAGCAGCGCCTCCAGCGGCTGCCGCTCCGCCGCCTCCGGCAGGGGGGGCCACTGCAGCACCCCCAGCCACTGCGGCCGCGCCTCCAGCGGGAGGTGTTCCAGCCGTGACTCCGGCAGCTGCAGCTCCACCACGTCCACGTCCGATGGCCTTGGCCTTCGCCTTCGCCTTGCCTCGGCCCGCGCCTCGACCGCGGCCGACTCCCGCAGGAGGCGCAGGCAGCGCCGCTGCGGCCCCCGCTGGCAGCGCCAGGAAGCCGCCCGCGCCCGCCGCGCCTGCTCCAGGCGCTCCGCCTCGGCCTCGGCCCGCGCCAGGGGCCGCCGCCGCCATCAGCCCCGCATCACCTGGGCCGCGCTGGCGGCGCGCGAGGCGGGCCAAGCGGGGGCGCGCCCATGGCGCACCTGCAAGCACAAAGCTTCGGACGAGGCGGCACGCGTCGCAAGTAGACTGGGGGGTGAGCGTGGCACGAAACAATACACATTAAGATCATGATAATCTTGCCCGGGCGAGTGGTCAAGGAGGAGAAGAAGGAGGAGGAGAGGAGGAAGCAGAAGAGGAGGAGGGAGAGAATCAAGCTTGCCAATGATACGCACTTGCTTTGCAGCGTATCTTCCCATGGCCTGTCGAAGCGTTGTGCGGCAGTCCCCTTACCGAATGGCCTAGTCGGCCGAACCAGTAAATCCAACACAACATGGGACAAGAGAGGGCGAGAGAGGAGGAGGAGGAGGAGGAGGAGGAGGAGGAGGAGGAGGAGGAGGAGGAGGAGGAGGAGAGGAGAGGGCTGCGTAGTAGCCGAAAGCGGCTCTCACAGCTGGCCGACGCGTGTGGACCCTGACACGCCCAAGCTGAGGCCAAATAGCCTGCAACATGATTCAAGATAGCGCGCACGACCGAATCAAAGTCAACCACACAAGCTCCCAGGCCCGAGTGGAGACGTTGCTGACACGAGAAGGAGGAGGAGGAGGACGACGACGACGACAAGAGGAGAGGACAAACACCCAAGACGTTCGAAATATCTGCCTAAAAAACACCGCACACGCCACCCTGCAGCAGGCGATCACGCGCGTTGACCCGCGACTAAGGAAACATGCGGGAGCCGACGTGAAAACTAAACCCTTCCGTCCGCGAGGCCCGCGGACCACGCGGGGGAGCGAGAAGCCAAGGAGAGGGGCGAGGCACGCGAGAGAGAGGCACGGACCACGCGAGAGAGCGTTTGCGAGTAGGCACTTTGCGAGTGGTGGAACGCGCTCGGTGATGGAAGCTCTGCTTTGGAGCCCCCGCCTGGACGCTCTCGGCCCAGGACCGACCGTGACCCCCCCAACCTCGCCTCCACCTCGCCACAACACCCCAACACTCTGGAAGCTCTGCTTTAGGGGCACCCCGCCCCGACCTTCTCTAGGGGAACGAAGAATAACATAAACATAATTATCCTGGCGAAGGCCCCAACCATATGCAGTTGTGAATGACGCAAGTGTGAATATCTTCTTCGGTGGAGCTCCCTATGCGGCCACGAAACGCTGTACTGGGTGGGGGGGGACGCATGCGGGCGGTAGCACTGGGGCCTTCGGTGGAGCTCCCTATGGAGCCACGAAATGCTGTACTGGGTGGGGGGGGGGGACGCATGCGGGCGGTAGCAGAGGGACCTTCGGTGGAGCTCCTTATGCGGCCACGAAGCGCTGTACTGGGTGGGGGGGGACGCATGCGGGCGGTAGCACAGGGACCTTCGGTGGAGCTCCCTACGGGGCCACGAAACGCTGTACTGGGTGGGCGCATGCGGGCGGTAGCACAGGGACCTTCGGTGGAGCTCCCTCCGGGGCCACGAAACAGTGTACTGGGTGGGGGGGACGCATGCGGGCGGTAGCACTGGGACTTCGGTGGAACTCCGTATGGGGCCACGCAGTGCTGTACTGGATGGGGGGGGAAGCATGCGGGTGGTAGCGCTTGGACCCTTTGGTGGAGCTCCGCATGGGCCACGAAACGCTGTACTGGGTGGGGGGGTGGGGGGGCGCATGCGGGCGGTAGCACTGGGGCCGCCCTCGGTGGAGCTCCCTACGGGGCCACGAAGCGCTGTGCTGGGTGGGTGAAACGCAGGGAGGAGGGAGGAGGGGGAGGAGGGGGAGGAGGAAGGAGGCGGGAGGAGAATGCGTGGCGTCGTCTCTTCAAAACGAAGACCCAACACAAGATGTTTGGGAAAAACTCGGAGGTCCGCGCGGATTTCTTGGATCGGCGCTGGACCCCCCTCCCTGGCGCACGAAGCGCGCCTGGGGCGGCGCCAGCGGCGCCGCCACGGGGGTCAAGCGCAGATCCGAGAGATCCGCGCAAACCTCCGAGTTGTGATGTTTCTGTCATTGTTCATTTCGCCCCGCGCCCCCCAGGCCTCTCTGGCGCCTGTCTCCTCGGAGCCCCCCCCCCGCACCACACGGCCTGCGCCCGGGCACCGCTGGCCCCCGACCCCGCGCCTCCTCCTCCTCCTCCTCCTCCTCCTCCTCCTCCTCCTCCTCCTCCTCCTCCTCCTCCTCCTCCCAGCCCCCACAGCCCCCAGACCCTCCCAAAAAACCCTGTCGTTGCCCTCCGCCCCAAACCCTTCGGCCCGGGACCAGCCCTTCGAGTAGGGGATCGACTACAGAACGGACTTACCCCAAAATGGATGTTCCCGCCGGATCTGCGACAAAGTACGTATAACGCCCCGTAGATCTACGAACATTCTACGCGCTTGTTGTATATTCGGCGGGGGAATCGAATTTGGAGTAAATCAATGTTGTAGTTGATCCCATAGTTAAGCCCTGACCTCCCAAGCCCCGACACCCCCACCCTCCAAGAACTCGGGTCTGGGACCCCTCCACCTCGCTCCCGCCTTGCCCGAACACCCACGCTCTCCAGAAACTCTCTTCTTGGACCCCCCCGGCTCGAATGTCGATCCCTGTGCCGACCCCAACCCCCTACCTCGCCTCCACCTCGCCCCATCACCCCCGCCCTTTGGATGCTCAATTTTTGGAGCCCCCCCACCCGGAGATGCTCGTCCCGGAGTCATATTGACCCTCCATCTCGCCTCCACCTCACTCCAACACCCCCACCCTCTGAACGCTATGTGGTTGGAGCCCCCAGCCCAGCAATTTTCGGCCCGGAATCGACCCTGCCAGTTCTCGTGCTGGAAGTGACGACAGCGCGAGCGACATTGCTGGCAGTCACGACGTCGATTCAGAATACCAGAGAAGACCACGCAAACACGTAGCCAAAACGATGATATATCAATTGGCGCTCGACCAACGCCTGCGATCTTCACGGCAATGGTGGTGCAAAACATAAGCCGCTTTCTGAATGCATTGGCAGGGGGGATTCCAACCCTCTCCCCATTGGCGCAAGGACCCCCCTACTGGTGTTTCGAAGGTGGGGATCGAAAGCCGCCCCCCGGAGACCAATACCTTTACAAAATTAACGAGCCTTCCGCAACATGGTGGGCCCAATACGTAGGGACCGTACTGGACCTTCCGCAACATGGTCGGTTTCCAGCGTATGGGTCGTACTGGGTCTTCCGCCACATGTGCCGGGTTTGCCGTAACATGTGCCGCGCCTTCCGCAATATGGTCTGTTCTGGCCGTGGACGCCGTATTACGCTATAGCAACATGTGCGGCACCTTCCGCAACACGGTTGGCTCTGGCCGTAGACGCCGCACCATGTCTTGCGCAACATGTACTGGGCTTTCTGCAACATGTACCGCGCCATCCACAACATGGTCAATTCTGGTCGTAAAAAACGCACACGGCCTTCCGCAACACATGCCGGGCTTTCCGCGACACGGTCAGTTTCCAACGTGCGACCCCGCACCGGGGGGCCCGCCGCAACATGTACCGCGCCTTCCAAAACATTTGCCAAGCCTGTCGCAACATGGTCGGTCCCGACCGTAGAAGCCCTAACAAGCCTTCCGCAACACCTACCGGGCCTTCCACAACATGATTAGTTCCAAGCGAACGACGCCGTACAAGGTTGTCCGAAACATGCGCCGCGCTTTCCGCAACATGTACTGCGCCTTCCCCAACACGGTCGCTTCCCCACGTACGACGCAGTACCCAACCTTCCGCAACATGTACCGCGTCTTCCGCAACTTGGTCGGTTCCGACCGCAGAATCACCAACGAGCCTTCCGCAACATGTACCAAGCCTTCCACAACGCTCGGCACGAACGAAATGGGTACGGGAAGAATGGGTACGATGCCCGACAGCAGTTCCAGTTCATTTTGAACAGGACTCGCTGTCCGCGCCGCCGCGGCCTGTCCATTTGAGACAAGAGGCCGCCTGCCCAACAGCGCCCGCTGTTGTTTTGGGACAACATGTGTTTTGGGTTGTGTATCATTTTTTTTCCGTACCCATTTCGGGCGTCCAAAAACATGGCCGGCTCCCAGCGTACGACGATTTGCGTACTGGGTTTTCCGCGTAAAGTACTGCGCCTTTCGCATCATGGTCGATGCACAACGTTCGACGCCGCACCACACTTTTCCGCAACATGTACCGCGCCTTCCACAACACGGTTGGTTCCCAGCGTAAGGAAAGAACTGGACCTTCCGCAATATGTACCGCGCCTTCAACAACATAGTCGGTTTCCATCGGGCCGTGCCAGGCCCTCCGCAACATGTACCGCGCCATCTGGTCATGGTCGATTCCCGACGCAAGCGTCACACGCAGCCTTAACACGGTCGGCTCCCAACGTATACGCCGCACCGGGCCTTGCGCAACGTGTACTAGGCCATCCACAACATGCGCCGCGCCTTTCGCAACATGGTCGGCTCTGGCCATGGACGCCGCATTGGGCCTTCCGCAACACGTACTGCGCCTTCCGCAACACGGTCCGCTGCCAGCGTAGGCGCCTTGCTGGGCGCGCCCGTTCGGGCCCGCTCGCCCGACCCGCCCTTCAGCGCTCGCCCGCAAGGCCTGCCCGTTGCAGCCCGCCCGCCCGGCCCGCCCGTCAGGGTCAGCCCGTCGTCGTCGTCGTCGTCGTCGTCGTCGTCGTCGTCGTCGTTATCGTCGTCGTCGTCCTCCTCGTCCTCGTCGTCGTCGTCGCCGCCGCAATCGTCGCCGCCTGCGTCATTCTCTATGTCCTGATCATCGGCTGCGTCGTTATCGTAGCGCTCGCCATCCTTGTCGCCCTCGTCGTCGCCGTCCTCGCCGCCCTCGTCGCCTCCCCGTGGGTGGATTGCCCACTGTAATGATGTCCCGCTCGACCCGACCCGCCCGCCTGCCAGGACCCGCCCGCGAGACGCGCCCATCAAGGCCCGCCCGCCCGACCCGCCCGCGACGGTCTGCC